AGCTGCTTACGAGACAGACGCCCCGGCCAAACCCAACCGGAGCAGACAAACATGTGCGTCTCTGCAGCTAACCACAAACCCTAACGAGTCCATACGAAAGTCCGGGTCCACCAGAGACGCCAAAAGGCGTATAACTGGCGGAGGGCTAGGCCCGGACGCCCGCTGTACCCTTGCCGTCGAGCACGCAGTCTCTCCAGAAAACCCTATCTCTCGGGTCGGTAGATAGGAGTGACAGTGTTAGAAGACGAACCAGGATAATCGATGTGCTTTCAAAGATAGGTCAGGCAAAATGGAGATGGACTGGCCATCTGTTGCATGGGCCGGAAAAATGGAGCAAAGTAGTTACCAATAAGTACCCACGTGAAGGAAAACGTAATAGAGGGTGTCAACATCAAAGATGGGAGGATGACCTGAAGCTAACTGCAGGACCATGTTGGAGAATAGTAGCTCTTGATAGAGTACACTGAAAAGATCTGGAGGAGGCCTATGCTAAGAAGCACGCTGAGTTAAGAAATATAATCTAAAAATTTTAAATGCAACATAAAATTGTAATGTAAAAATATTCCTAACTCAGTTTAAAAAAGGTTAAAAATAAAAAGGCTATGAAATAAAATTAAAACGATGTATATTTTATGACCTTGACATCAGTAAATGTTGATGCGGAAGCTGATTTTATCTGTTCCAAAAAAATCGTGAAAAATATACAGATTCAAAAGAATCTACATGAAAAAGATTTCTGTTTGGTACCAAAATAAAATATTGGTTTTATAATTAGTGACATTTATTTTTTTTTTTAAATGAACCTGGGTAAAATCAGTCAATCTGCCTAGTTTAATCATACTGTAATTTTATCAAAGGTAATAATAATAACAATGGCTGAGGTGCTTTTTGGGCTGCTGTTTCTGGAGGACTTGTAAATAATTCCAGCACACCGTAATCCCTTACCCTTAAATAATATCACATTTCAAATATCCACAATGAATATTAGCACTACTCAATGCAGATTCGCAACCACCGACAAAGGTTTCAACAATGTGTCTACATATAAATAGGTTGAGCTTTTGTGTGTATCTAACTTAAATAATCTCAGTATAGAGTACTAAAAAAACCGAACTCAAAAGTACGTGGAATTACATCTATTTGCCAAGTTTTACTGAAGTCGGTTACCGGAAAGTGTGCAAACCCGGATTCATCTCCTAGTTTGCTAATATACAGGACTTGACACAGGAGATTTATATATATAGAGACGGTTCTCGCTACTCAAAGTATATTGAGAGAGAATAACGCCTTGAATTGGAGAATACCAAAATGAACCATTAAAATAATTGTTCCATACAGTAAAATTTAGGCACTATTTATAAAAATGTGTCTTCATGCGTGAACAGCCTTGGAGGTGGATGATTTTCTTCAAAATTAATTGGGACCACTATGGGGGTACCCTCTTTCCAACAAAAAAAGAATCATGAAAATTGATTCACAAATACCGGAGTTATCGCATAACATACATTAAAAAAAAGTTTTCGAATAGTTGAATCGAATTGAGAACCTCCTCTTTGTTTTAAGTCGGTTAAAAAACAGTGACATGCCACTGTTAGTGGCATTGCAATGCATGTCAAATTTAAAGAGTATATAAAAACATACAAAATTGCTTACATATTGAAAGACAGTCAAATGCACTATATAGTACAATTGGTTACAACATTTAAACGCTAGCAACACCAATCATTTTACAGACAAATAGCTCATAGTACAATGTTCTCAGAGTCGTAAAAATCTATTAAATAAAAAAATGCATAAAAATTTTTACCAATAGCCAATTGCTGGACACCATATTGCCAAGGAATAAAAAAAATACATGTAGCTTACAGTACAATGTTTTTTTTATGTTAAGAAAGTGACGCGACAAACAAATTATGCACCTGACGGTTAACAACTTGCCTCCTTATATCAGTTGCAGTGCCACTCAAAACTTAATCACAAATACCAGAGAAGCACTAGCCTTACATCAATTTTACATGTTTCATGTACTAAATCAAGACTAATTAGAAGTCATTTCATGGGGTTTGATACAAATGGTTGAAGCTCATTTGTGCGAAGCTCATTTGTGTAACCACACATGGCCGAACTTTCAAATAGTTGATAATTCAAGGTATTGAACGCTCTTTGGTTTCAAATTTATGTAATTGAACATGTGTTGACAATTCATTAGTTCATAGTACACTACATCACAAATATTACTTTTGCAGTAAACCCAAAAGTTCAGCAAACACTTTGTGTGAATGAATCTATTTATCAGATCACAGATAAAAGTAAGCCTTTGCCTGCGTAATTTAATTTTAATGTAATTAGGGATGGATCCTAGACTGATATAGGTTTTCCACCTGACAAAAAAACTTATACGAGATTATAAACATTTTTAAGACACAAGAGGCTGAATGATCCCTGTAATCAATGTATAAATTTACCAGATAAAACTTAAAAACAAAAAAATTGTGTGTTTTTTGTAAAGACGAATAGCATAACGTAAAAAAATTAACCATCTAATAAATAATTATGATGAAATCAACAGGAATAATGGGTATGCAATGAAAATGAATTTTAATTAACACTGTAAACAAAATTGAAGCTGACTTTAATATTTTACTTGTAAGCAACAAAATTTTGTCCCAAAACTGACAGATAATGGTCTTCGCACTGGACTGCTAAATAATTAGCACATAAAATAAAAAATACATATTGTGTTAACAAAGTACTTTATCATATGAGTAATTGTGCAGATAAATACTCCCGGCCAGATGAAGTCATCATTGTGGAACGAAATAAATAAATAATTCATTAAATAATGTAATTAACAATTGTGATCCTGATAGTAAAAGTTTAAACTCGTGTATCGTTAGTTACTTGCCATTACACGCTCCATGCTTTTGTTTTAATTAAAAAAAGAAATACGAAACCGAATTACCTCGTGTTCTTAATTCGAAAATATGTTATATTCCGAGGACGGAACATAAGAGATTAGAAACGAAAAAGTTTGCATACCTTAGTATAAAGCTCCTTTGTAGTCATTTTGAAGACTTTGTAAAATGCAATTTGTAGATTAAATAATTAATTTTCTATCACACCACTTCACACTTCGGAAATCCATTTTATAAATATAAGGTAGATTCGAAAATTGCTAATTTCTCACCAAAATGCAAAACGTCACAGCATTGTTATTGACATGTGTCAGATTGATAAAAATCGGTTATCCATACATTTTCGCATTATCAATTAAATTGTTTTAAACAAACTTTGTGAAGTGAGAGGAACATAATTTTCCATAAGGAAATGGAAATCTAACAAGAAACTAATAGGAACATAAAAACAAACATGCGACGACGACAATAGGAATCGAAAGTTTTTCTTATCTCAAAATTCACACGAGTGTTACCATGATAAAATAACAAAATATAGGTCAGAAATACGTTTCTTTATATGCAGCTATAGAATTGACCTACATTCTAGCTCTTTATATTCATACCCAAGGTCAGCCAACAACAAATTTTATCGTTAGTCATCATGGTTTAAGGAGGATAGTCTGAGCATCTCGACAATCCTGTGGTAAATGTCATGGGTTGCACGCTTCCAAACAGATATCACAATAGAGTCAGTTTGTAGGGGTTTGGGTTAATGAAATATATACATATCATATACGTACGCAGTGGATAGTCTATATTCTCAAAAGGGAAGCCTTCCCTTAACAGGGAAAATTTCAACATAAACTTAGTTATGCAACATTCTATGTGAATTAACGTAAAATTGAGAACGTTCTAAAGAAAGGTCGGAGTAGGCCCTTAACCGGTGACCATGTACATTTTAATATACGCTTTTAAGCGTAGATGCTTGTTGATAAGGTGAAGAAAGATGTTTCCGGATTACAATATGCAGAATGCTGTGGTGATTGCTTCGATCCTAAAATGACATAAAGCTACCTGCCCACTTATGACTTAAACCACAAAACATCTACTAAAATTACCAATGTGCCCTCTGTTATTATTTCCAACAACTGAATTCAAGATTCAAGTTGTTCATATTAATTCGAGTAATCGAAACAACGTGAAACATTGTCGAATTTCAAGATTTTAAATTTTCAGGGCTGATTGAGGGAATTGTTCGGCTGCATTACCACCGCGGTCGGTCGTATTCCAGAACTCTACTCAATGCTCAAGTCAGGATTTGAGCAGACTTGAGTATGATTTCAAGCACTGGAAATACGACCCTAATAGCAAGGACTTGAGTGTGATTTTTAGTGCTTTGAATCATACTCAAATCCTGACTTGAGCATTGAGTAGAGTTCTGAAAAACGACTCTTATGGTCGTAGTGTGATTCAAAGCACTAAAAATCATACTCAAGTCCCTGCCATTAGGGTCGTATTACCAGTGCTTGTATTACAATTGCAATTATTACAATTGCAATCCTGACTTGAGCATTGAGTAGAGTTCTAGAATACGACCCTTAGTTAGAGCAGCAGCCTCTAAAGTCAGGATTGCCATGATGTTGTCCAACCTCCAATAGGAGATTAATCCTAAAAAGAAGAACTTGTTGACGTAGATTGCATTGCGTCTCGATTAACCAATGGCGATGAGAATTTGTGTTACATGGAATTTTTGCCATTTTTATGTAACAAAAGAGACTATAAAATAAACGGAAAACATTACAAAAATAACTTACTGCATCTTTTGTAAAAATTTGTATTTAGGTTTAGTCGTTTATGTATAATATTATATTAATATATTATGTACTTGTCCATTTTTAGTTAGTTTTAAGCTGATGATAAATTAAGAAAAAAGCCAGAACTTGGAAACGAGGAAAAAATGGCGGGTTTTTCTGGTCACACTTTTTACATGATTTAATTTTTTGACGTTATACTTTGTAAAAAAATCTTAGAAATAAAAGAACAAGTAGCTGAAGTAACGCATTTAATTAATTAGCAATCTAATATTTCTACTCCAGCCTTTGAAATTCAATCTTAGTAGAAAATTCTAAAAGCCGAAAGCTTTATTAATTGCTTTTAGCTTAACCAAATGATATCGTTCGAGAAGTTTCCATTTCCATAGACGAGCAATTATTTTGTCATCGTTTGTTTTCATCAATTCACTTATTTTCTTGAGACGGGAACCATGCTTGACAAGCTTCTGTGGCGATCTCGCAGAAGGCTGTAAAAGTTTTCCCTCTGTTTTCGTATTCTGAAACTAAATACTTAATTATATTTAAAAATTCTAATAATCTATTTTTTTACTTTGGTGTAACTAACTATATATAATAATAGTAATAATAATAATAATAATAATAATAATTTATTCCCAAAAAAGATTGTATCACAAAATTGAGATAAATGGTAATTAAATACTAGTTGTACAAAGTGATTTGTTCAAACTCTGATCATCCAAACTAGGCACATGCCTGTATCTTGGAAATCAGTGTAACTAACTTTACTATAACTTATCACAAGAGAGTCCTTATGACCGAATGAAAATGAACGAACGTAATTAGTTAATAGATTTGTGCGTAGTTATGTATGAGAGTTATACCATTTCACATGTGCATAATTTGTTTCATTAATTTGTGTGCATTTTCTTATACCAAGGAAACGACTATATACCTATATAGTCGTTTCCTTGGCAAGCAAATTACTACTTGAAATCGTCATTATACACTATTTTCTCATATTTAGGGCAGATTCCTCTGAAAAGAATGAATGAAAATAAACTCAGTACAGAGTACTAAAAAAACCGACCTCAAAAGTACGTGGAATTACGTCTATTGAAATATCCCCTAGTTCGCCACTATACAGGACTTGACACTGTAGATAATAATAATCGGTTCTCACTAATCAAAGTATATTGAGAGAACCTTGAATTGGAGAAATAGCAAAATCAACCATTAAAATAAATGCTCCTAAATTAAAATTAGGCGCTATTTTTAAAAATGAATCTTCATGTGTGAACAGCCACCCTTAAAGGTGGATGATTTTCTTCAAAATGAAATGGGACCACTATAGAAGTACCCCCTTTCCAACAAATCATGAAAATCGGCTCACAAACACCGTAGTTATCGCGTAACATACATACAAAAAAAAACAGAACATACAGTCGAATTGAGAACCTCCTCCTTTTTTGAAGTCGGTTTTAAAAGGTTTCTTCACTTTAGAAGTTGCTGTTTGTAAATCAACTTTCAACTTTAATCATAGATCATAGAATAAATGTGTAGAAAAAGGGATGGTTGGCACCCATCAAGGGACCCGACATTTAAAAACAATACCCTGTCTATGATTGAGCTAAATACTTACCTAAATGATCAATTCATTGTTAATAAGAAATATTGTAGGAGAAATTATCACACAGATTTCTTTTCCAAAGTCCTTTCAATTGAACAAAATGAAGGGATTGAAGATTTTTTCATTTAAAAAAATGACCATTATATCATAGTAGAATAAAACAAGAAGGGATAACTCCGCACAAAATAACAACGAGGCTTGTATGTGTGCGCAACCGCCGTCCGCCGTGTACGCACACATTCTCATAATAATGAAAGACGCGTTGGGATGACCAGTGTTATGCAACACTCATGCATCACCAGATTATGCAAATATGTGTGCTACCATACTTGTCCTTATTCTATTATGGTTACGCTGATACACTGGATAACGCCTCACCAGAAGAAGGTCCCCTCTTCCCAAACATGATTCCATTCATTGGTGCGTTCTTATAATTGGCCTCGCTGAGTTCTACCAGAGACAATATCACTGCTACCACGCAGACAACGCCTATTGTGATCCGGATCATATCTACTGCCATCTGGAAAGTTAAATCATAATTAAATATGTACAATGAATAACCTCTCACCATATCGGTGACTTGTACTATAATGGTTGCCATCGTGGTGAAAGGATTAGGTTAGTCGCTGATAGTTGCCCAGGTTCGATTGACGTACTGGAAAGGGATGATACCTAAGTTGTGCGGGGAAGCATCAAATACCTATATAACCAGAAACAAAGACAAAATAAGGGCCATTACCCATCCCTGGCAATTCATCAGGGAAATGGGCCTTATGTCACTTTTAAATGTCAACCTTCTTTTGCACTGATAAGTATCACAAATTAGAAAGCTGAAATAAAATAGCGTCAACAACTGATCTGTGTATACGTCTCCATATATTGCAAAAATGTTCTGTATTTATTGTAATAAAGATAATATCTCTAACAATATGAGGGTGTTCTAGTCGGTGGTATGGGAAAAATAGCAAAACATATAATTACAAAACAGACGAAATCACATTTAACCGATAGGAAAAGCAAAAAAAGGGAAATAAGACGTGAAGCAATTGACAACACCCGTCAATTGTTTCGAATTCGGGCTGACCAATCGGAGCGCAGTTGTCATCGTAATGATTTGGCAGAAAAGTTTTCATACAAATTAAATGACATTTCGTCTCTATTTCTGGTTATATACTCGATGGCGGGTAGACTCGTTTCGTACACCTCTTGATTAACTGATTTAACTCCTATCATACAGAGACTAAAACTAATTTTAACAAATTCGTTTTCAAATTGGTGTATTCTATTAGCGAGTTCTACAAAATTCACGTCGTCCTTAAAGACTTGTGAAATGGGATAAAACCCTTTTTGTACATTATAATAGTACATGATGACATTCAATGTCACGATGTGACTTCAAAAGACTGACGGAGTTAACAGTTTTTAGAAAAGACATCGAGGCTTCTGATTCTATTTAAAAACAAACCAGTCCCACGTTGGGTGCCAAATATTAACAGTGAAACTGTCAGCACCATTAATCACCATAAGATTGCTGTTGAATGCTTCTTCTTCTTAATATATCGAAGACACACCTACACAATAATAAATAATTGCCATCATGATGAAAGGATTTGACAATCGGAGTAAAACTCTGCCCATAGCGCCCAACATGCCCCAGAAGTACAATAAAGGATTGGCACCTGTGCGGGGAGATATATGATAAAATCACACATCTTATAAGTTCTTTGGTTTTCACGACCGTTACACATAGGAAGTGAGACTATTTGTTCAGATCTATGAAATCGTTAACACTATCCACAACAATAACCACTTCTACTATCTAATGTAATTTTTTGAACTCAGAGCGTACTATAGAACAATAAATACAATAGAAATGCTTAGTTTGTGTAGTACATGTGCCAACAGTTCGCGAAGTTCAACAAAATGGGCAATGTCGTGACAATTATCTCGCCCAAAACCTCGAAACGCTTAGAAAAATGCCTTCTTTTGTTACTTTAATAACAAATGTTAGTCGCACTTGTAATATTATCTATGGTGGTGTAATTCCAGCCCTTTACAGATCCTGCCTTCTTTTTACATCCGATAATATTTACTTTTTCATTTGTTGATTAGACATGGGCAGTCAACCGTGACCATGGGACCTTTAAATTGCCCGAAACGTTGGTTTGTTTGAAAAAACAAATGTACGCGATTTAAATCCGAAAAGTAGTTTATTTCCTATGTGTAACAATCGCGAAAACCTAAGAACTCGATAAGCCCATATAATTTCAAATTTCATTAATTTTCAGAAAGTTTTAAGACGTTTAAAGCTTTTTAAATTTAAAGCTTACCTTTTTCAGACTGTAATCTTCTTGAGCCTCAATAACTGCACGTTCTCAACTGATACAAGAAGCTGTGTTCCCGGCAATTTATACTGGGAAAATCGGGACGCTGGCCAAGCAATTATTGGATTATTGGACACTGACCGCAGACCCTCGGGATTATAAAGTTCGTTAGTGCATAAGATTGACGCCAAATGACATTAATCTTGCGTTAAAGCTTTTGCGTATCTGCCTAGTTACATGGTTATATGGACGTTGATAATATCGAGCTATTACTGCCGACTTAGATACAAATATTACAGGAGTTTTTTCAAATTTTTCTACGCGAAAGAATGGCATAAGTGGAATTACGTCAAATATGTTTATTGCTCCATTAGATACACAAAAATATAACCCACATCCTCTACAATTGGAGAGGGTGTGGGTTATATTTTTCTGTATCTAATCTCCAATTAACAAGAGCAATAAACAAGTTTGACGTAATTCCACTTATGCCATTCTTCCATGAGGGGTGCGATATAAATGTGGTACTAATTAAATTTTAATATAGATACAGGGTTATTTTTTAAATACTAACATCCTCACAGGACTATGTTACTAACATCATAAACAACAACTATGCTATCATGACTTAAATAATTCATTAGATTTTACATTCATACAAAAATATAGATAAAATGTGGGTGGGAGTCGTCGCGGAGGATATTTACGCGTTTGAACTTATTCTAACAAAATTCCTCATGGAAAATGGCGTAAGTGGTGTTACGTCAAAAACGTTCTCCATTAGATACAGAAAAATGTAACCCACATCCTCTCCAGTTTTTGCAACTCTATCAACTAATATTGCAGATAGAGTTACTAGATGAATTATTGATTTTTTAAATAATATCAAGTAACGGGACGAACAAGTCGCATCGCCTGATGGTAAGCTACACGCCTGTCCATAACGATTGCAGTGCCACTCAGAGCTTCAAATCGCAAAGATCTGAGGGGCACTGCCACTGCGCCCGTCACTCTGAGACAAGTCGACAAGTCCCATGTGCCTGTAATTTCACCCTTCAAAACCGGAACACAGTAATGCTAACATTACTGCTTGGCGGCAGAAATACTCAAGTGGCAGTACTTCCCTGGACGAACTCTTTTACAAGGAGCTCTACTGCTTACGAAAAATATTAATACGAATTAAAGAAGATCTAATAAGTGACAAAAACTTAAATGTTTATTATATTTTGAAAAAAGTCGTGGAATAAAAATTATTGTTTGTGATGTTAGTAATTTAAACCTCTGCGAGGTTGTTAGCATTTTAAATATAACTGAATTTCGTAACCGATTGTGTAACATCTACATTTTTTTAAAGCAATGTATGTTAAGCCGTTTTTGGTGTTTACAATAGTTTTGCTATCTCTAAAGATCTAAAGATTTTTGAGGCTTTGAAACGTTTATAAGGATAACACTTGCGACTAAAAATATGCAACAATTGTTTATAATAAACGATCAAATTGTGATGTCCTATGTCGGTTGCTATAACAAGATGGGGTCGCTTACGTCAAGATTTTTTTTAATATTGATTCTGTCGGTTACATTATTATTAATTTATTTCTGGCCATGGAAACAAAGTCCTTCAGCCGAAAACATAAAAATAAGTTTTTCTGTAAATATGGCCGCCACAAAGAGGATAGGCAATTTGAGCCGGCGTGCTTGGATTGACTCGGGATTCCTTAAAACGGGCCCATACGGGTATTTTAGTTGGAGATTCGTATAATTTCGCGTTTTAATCTTCGATTAAGGCACAATAGCACTATCCTATTCCACTTTAAACTAGAATTCACAAAAAAATTGAAAGACAAAATAAAAACGACGCTTTTCCCTCCAAAAGGTCCAGAGCGAATCTCTGTCGGTTACACTAAAATAAATAAAAAAACAGTTGAGCTAAAAGTTCGTTCGTTTTATTATAATTTCTATTTAATGTAATTTTGGCGGGAAATGTCGACGCAGCCTTGTCCGTTGTAATTCAAAATATCATTTGCAATAAAAAAATGCAGTTTATGTAAAAATATCCCTTACGATATCTAATGGTCATGGCTCGACATCACACCTTAATTATTGCACTACATTATAACAACGCTACATACTGCGCATATAATCAAAGGAATCATCACACTGATTGACGTCGAATCGGCTTGAGTCTGTCAGAAAACATTCCATTTCCATGCAATAACCAATAACCTCAGGACTATGTTACTAACATCATGCAACAACTTCGGGCGTAGCGTTGATTTCTGTGCCCGGGGCAACCTTAAATTTGCTGCCCCCTCTATTTTCATGATTACAAAAGTAGTTCGTACGGGCAGACTTGTATCGATTCTGTTTTTAACTTCGCCTACCGTCGCCATCTTTGTGTTGTAGCACACCCCGGACACTCCATACAACGGTTGAAAGATAATTTGCCTACTACTACTCATACAGCAAGGCGCTATCTGCACACGCGCAAATGTGTGCGTGAAGTGACAGGGTTACACTTACGTGGTCATAGCGGTAACTCAAAAAAATTTTATTAATAGAATCCTAATAATTACACATGTTCGTTAGGTATTTATATCGATATAATATTATATTTTTTATTAATTCAATAACTAGAATAATATTGATTTTTTAAATATATAAAAATCACTTAAAATGTTGTATTTTGGACAGGTACTATTAAATAAAGTAACCAAGGTATTTGAAATTGTGTGTCCAAGGTTATCATTACCTTTGTTAATAATTAGATATAATCACGACCTAGTATTTTGATCGGCAATACAAATTGAAAATTCGAGAATCTTTGTCTACTAGCTCACGAAGTTATGGCGTCTCATTATATTGATATAATAAATCTGTCATCTTTCGGAAAACGAAAGAAACTCCTGTCTTTAACCCGTTTAGATGATGATAAACACCCGTACACAGCACAATTCACGACCATTATAAATAGTAACGTACAAGTTGCGTAATGAATAAATGAAAGCTGTAATCAAATATCAAAGCCGTCTTGGCGCGAAAACGGCTTGCCGACAGCCTTGTTGTCGTTCAGTCAATGTGCGAGGCGTGGTACGGTATCTAAATCTAGGAAGGGGCGGAGAGTGTTCATTTTTGTTACTTTTTGTTCTCTGGTTGTAGTTAGGGCTAGGCCGCGCCCGCCGCCGCCTCCATTGCTGTACATGGCCTCCTCTGCACCCCCACGCTACACCACTGGGTAGCAGAGCGACATAAACTGCGATACCTCCATCCGAAAGTAGTAGTATCTCTCGTTTATGTCACTCTCACGCTACTCGCGCCCTGTTGTGCTAGCTCTATAAGATTTCATAGTGTTTCAAATTCTGAATATGTGAATTTTGGCGACAGTGGTTCTGATAGTAATCGAGGCTAAAGGCACTTACATTTTTTGTTCAAAACGAATGCTTCAATTCTATATTGAATGGCATGTGCGACAACCCGCGGTATGCTACGTGAGGTCACCAAGAGATTATAGCAATGTGTGCATCTATACCTACAAGCCGCGCGGCGGGTGTGCACACATACAAACCGCGCTACTACGTTTGTATGAAGTTATCACACTTAATACTATGCCTGTTGTGTATATTTAACTTCTCGGACATGTTTCATGTCTTTTTTAATTAAAAAAAAGACATGAAACTCTCAGGTCCGTACATGCGTCAGGTGAAACTTTATTTATTTAACATTTGTAACATAGCAGATAAAAAATCTAAGTCGCTTCAAACACAGAAACACTATTAAAAAAATTAAACAATACATTTGACAGAATTTAAATAACGGGCATCACTTGGTTCAAACACTTTCTTACATTCACTCAACAAATCAGAATGTGGTGCTGCCTCGAGAACGGTGCGTCGTGCGCGGATATACTCATTCGTTCGGCACAAACAGCCTCAGCAAACGCTGTAGTGAATCGGCCATTCTCACGTTCAGTGTTCTCAGCCTAATTACCGTAGCCATTTCGGCGTTCTCAGACTAATTACCGTAACCATTGTTTTTTATTTGTGCCGATAAAAATCTTTAAATGTTTAAAAAAAAACAAGAAAAAATTTTATATCGGTGTAATTCATTACAAAGTGTAGAAACCCAAAATCAAAGCTATTTATATTTATTTTGTGTGTAGTTAGTTGTTCTTTATAATTTTTGTTTTTATGATTTTATAAAAATGTTTGATTTTTGTAATTACCGTAACATATTACCGTAATTTCCATAAAATATTTGTGTCTTATTAAACTACTTTGTCTATTTCAATGCCATTTACACATATTGATAATTTAGCTTAAAGTTCATATTGCAATATTATTGGATGTAAGCATGAAAAAACAATGGCTACGGCAATTAGGACGAGAACACCGAATGTGAAAATGGCCGGAATAAGGTTATACTCAATTTTACCGCGAGTAATATTGGTGACAAATTTAGCCAGTGCGAGGAACCTACGCAACTGTAAATTATAAGTAAAAAAGAAAAGTACCGGGCCTTGTGTCGGGCGGCAATCAGCCAATACTTAGGCATTATTCCGCATCAATAGTAGAAATGCCACCTAATACGACTTGATAGGCTTCACGTGCCGTTTGTAGCGTTGTCTGTCACATCACAACAGGGTCATAAACTTACTACTTAAATGCTTTTGCCTATACATAATTCCGAACGACATTTGGGCGCTAAAAATGCTACTTATTTATTTTGTAAGTACGTATATGTACATCGCACACTCGGTTTAACAAGGACACATCTGCAAAATGGTAACATTTCTAGAGAGACGTTTAAAGATGCTGATGAAACAGGAGGGTGATGAAATTCCGCATATTTACATGTATTACTTTATTTTATATTTTATTTTATTGGGAATAACAACAGCTATAAATAATGATTTACAATTAATATTTTAGGTAACCACCGCTAATTACAATTGTCCACATTCTCATTTTCAAATACCTAAATTATATTTACAATTGACACATTAAAAAGAAATAACTTTTCTACAAAAAAACCGACCTCAAAAGTTCGTGGAATAACATCTATTTGCCAAGTTTTGTTGAAATCGGTTACCGGAAAGTGCTCTAAACCGGATTCATGCTCTAGTTTACCACCTCTAGGTGGAATATTATCTTCAAATTTAAATTGGACAAAAAAAAACAATCATCAAAATCGATTTACAAATCCGGCATTTGTAAATCGATTTTGATGATTGTTTTTTTAAATAGTAATCTCGACACATACACACAAAAAATATATCGAATTGAGAACCTTCTTCTTTTTCAAGTCGGCTAAAAATAAGGACAACATACCTACACCTTATTTTTATGACTTTTGACGTATGATAATTATAGGCTACTAGCAAGAAGCATCTCCATCTCCATCATCTCATAGAAATGTTACCATTTTGCCTTTAACCCAATAACACTGCGTTTCATCTTGTCGCTATAACATCATTAACTATAAGAGATAGTAACCGAATGGAGTTTGCCTCAGATTGCATTTGAATAATCTGGTTAAGAAGCTTTCATCTTGCAATAACAGGACCTTGTATAAAAGGGGAAGAAGAACTCTTACATGCATCAGACGCCTGGAAGTCTTTGGTTGTTAGGACCGAAACCAAAGAGATTAAGTAAGGTTAGTAATTAACTTTATAAACTTTCTTTCGTTTTGAATTTGGACATTTCGTACTCTTGGTATAATTAAAACACATGTGATCATAAATTAAAAACGAAAAAAAAGTAATCGACTAATTTGTTTGTTCTGCAAAATGATCAGTTTGCAGATGTGACCTTATTAAACCAAAGGTGCGATTTATGAAAGTACCTATGTGTTAAAATTATAATGTAAACGACGTCTCTACATGTAGTACGCGTGAACAATGCCTTCGTTGTAGATCATGTGTAATTTCCCTGACATTTTACTCAATAACAGAGTAACTATTTATATTGCGCATTCATTAATAACATTCAACTCCTTGATCACGCATATCAAGTAATAACGAATTTACAGGGTGGCCTCGACCGTCCCCAAGACACACCGATGGCCTTGTCGCATAAATGCGTACAGGTCAACGAGTAACATGTTTTTGTGGAATTTCAAAACAATATCTATAACAAATAAATTAAGTAGCAATAAAGGTTCGTCCAAGGAAGTACTGGCACCTTACCTATTTCTGCCGCCAAACAATAATGTAAGCTAATGCTTGAATGAACGCACTAATGTGCGTTCCGGTTTTGAAGGGTAAGGGTGCTGATGTAATTACAGGCACATTGGCCTTGGCAAAGTACGTCTCAGGGTGAGACAGGCGCAGTGGCAGTGATATAAGATCTTTGCTATTCAAAGCGCTGCTCAAATAAAAAAATACCTTTGATTGACAAAGGTACGACTCGAAAAATGGCAGTTAACTGGTTATTTTTCTTCTAGAAAATATCATCAATTATCATCAGCCATGCGCGCCATCATACTCTTCTGCATTTCTATAGCTGTGATCTGCCTCATAAAAAACACCGAAGCCAGTTTTAAGAAGACTCCGTTCAATGGATCCATATTTGGAAAAAGAGGAATTGTGGGTAAGTCAAGTTGCATAAGTAATTTTTGATCTCTACAATAATAACAGAAGAAGCTTAAATCAACTTAAAAAAAGCCTATTTTATTTTGAAAATCGCACCATTGGTCTAATAAGCTTCATCTGAAAAAATTACAACTTTCCAGGTCAAAGGTTTAAAGGTAACTAAAACGTTTTTATTCTTAAATACTAGTAATAGTAGTAGTAGTAATAAAATTTTATACACGCATAAGTCACCATCTGGTAACATACTGTTTGATTGCCTCTCCCGGTCGGAAACTACGTGTTTTCCGAGTCGAGGCGTATAATATTGCGGATGGGCTATCCGATCGGTTCGATTCCTATTTGAATTAAAATCAGGGCCCAGATGGCCGATTGGGCCGAAGAGTTCTCGAGTGGTGACCGCGTACCGGAAGACACAGCATGGGCAAACCCCACTAGGTGGGCTGATGATCAGGTGAAGGCTATTTGAATCAACTGGATACTAGCGACACAGGACAGGACAGGCATTAGCATACAATGGCAACACTGTACGCTAATAATATGTATATTAGCATACAGTGTTGCCACTGTAATTTTATGTGCAATAAAGGGTATGTCATTCATACATTCACTTAAAGAGTATTTCATTCGTTCATTCAAACCACGCTCCTGAAAAGTTGTAATTTTGCAGATGTAACATTATTACAGTACAGGTGCGAAATATTGTTAGGACTGTAATAATAAAAATAACATCTTTGTTTTATTGTTGCAGACTACGATTCTACAAGCAGAGCATTATCGGCCGTGTGCGAAATCGCTACAGAAACTTGCCAAGCATGGTACCAGACACTAGAGAATAAATAAAATACCATCTTCAACTATTTTAGACGCCAACTTCTACTAGAATTTATCATAACCAATTGATTACATATAAATCATGTAACCTAGCTTTTAAGTCATTAAAATAAAAAAAATATTATTAACAATTTTTTGCCTTTTATTACATTTAGCACAATATCTGCTTATCCTCAATTTACATTTTGCCGCGAGACGGAATTGAAGTGTACTATATAGTAAAATATACAGATTGTAATCGTTCAGTGTGCCCAGGCGATTATTTCATAAGGAGATATCAAAAAGCTTTAAACTGATACCGAAAATACGTTACCTAATGAATAAATCACCATCAATACCTTTTTAAAAATAAAACTAAAAATATATAAATTTTCAACATTAAACGCTCCCATATATTTTATACGACAGTCGTAGAGAGGCGACTGTATGCGTTATTATTAAATTTATTTAAAAAAAAGTTATTGATATCGACTTATTCATTAGGTAACGTACTATCGATATCAGTTTGAAGCTTCTTGATATCTCTTACATTTATGGAATAATCGATTGGGCACACTCGATTACACCCTGCATATATATGTAATCCACAGAAATAAATGTTTACGGGTGCCCGTAAACGGTCGTCTTAGTAACGCGCGTTGTGTGCTTATATAAAATACGCCGCCTGCATATGCACTAAAGACCATCTACAGCCAATAACTTACATAAGGCTCTATCTACTAAAATCCTACACCAACAATATCATCTTATCTCAACTAATTGCTTCAGGGAGCGAGAGGTTTGCGGTACAAACTCGGATTAACACTAATGGACTATATTCGAGTTGAACGCGAGCTTAATGTTTTGTTTACACGAGGGCTAAATTGCAATTACAAGTTTCACTTGTGCATACATTTTACGTCGTAGACGATGGGATCAATGATTTCAAGAGGAAATTTGCTTTGAAAGAATTTTCAACTCAATCTTTATGTATTATATTTATATGTGCACTTATATTATACACGTTACTGTTAAGAACGAAGTAAGCAACATAAAAAAAACGTAAAAAAGAATTTTTTTTGTTTTCGGATCTTAATAGCTATTGTTTTCAAATAAAACCAAATGCAAAAAATATCTCTAAAATATGAGATATGTTAATAGGTGCTTAACATTTTTTGCATTAGACTTCTTTGACCAGGATTCTAAGATCAAAACCGTGCTTAGTGGTGGGATTTCAAACCTTGATACTTTTTACATAGAGAACGTGTAAATGAGTTTTTTTTTTTGGTTAAATTCTGTTCAAATATATTTAGTCATAAGCGGTTAAATTTTTCCAAGCGCGTTAAAACAACTCAAACTGCGTGAAACGTAACGTTTCTTAGAACTATTCTCCATTTCACAGTAGTTTGAACGTATACGCAATATGATTGGTTAATATGCTACTGCATATCATGTTGGCCAATAAAAAAATAGAATTTTACCGGAAAATTGAAAATGAGAACGTACATCTGTCCAATGGCTGCTATATCTTGTAATTTACGTGTGTATCGAATTGTAATTAACGCGCTATTTACAACAATAATTCTTATTGTAAGTGCCTCATTAACTTCTACAAAGTGAGATATCGCATTTACATTAAAAAAATCCAAGAACTAAAACGAAAAACCGGCGTTAATTTCGACGTGCACCGCAAAGGTAATATTTTGATTTTAATCCTTTATTTCACTCTTGAATACCAAATTAGACCTATAAAATACATAAATTTGTGTATTTCCATGAACGCGTAACAATATCACGTATGTAGTTTATGTAACTTACTTTGAAATTAATTAAATAAGTATTTTTAAAAAGATCTTTGTAAAGTCTGTCCAAAGTTAAAGAATTTCCTTTTTAAAGCTATTATAATTACTTACAATTGGATAAATAGGTGATATCATAGTTTTTTTATACGGTACCATGCTCTCGAGGGTTAATGTTGTCGTAATATATTATTCGATTCCTATATGAATCTATAATTTTTAATCGTACACAGATGATTGTAAATTATTTCGGCTATACATCTTACATACATAAAACAATTCTTTATAGTCTTTACATAGTGATCTATAGCCTATATTCTCTGAAGAAAAAAACCTGTGCCCAGTTGGTAAACTTACTGTATGTTCAATACAGTGTTCGTAAGCTATATTTTTTTAAAATACTTAGTATTAATTTAGTATTAATTTTTATACTTTGGGATTCAACTGGGACATGCCCAGCCTGCCACTTAAGCTTACTGATTTTGCGAGTTATGTCGGTCTCTTTAGTTCTTTGATTTATGACCTCGTTAGGGATTCAGTCCATCAGAGAAACACCAAGCATAGCTTACTCCATTGCACGCTGAGCGACCTTGAAGTTATAGCTGAGATCTGTTGTTAATGTAGCTAAATCTCGGCTGCGTGGGACACAACTAGTAGATTTAGTTATATTCAAAATTTGCCATTTACAACGTTTAAAACTATTGTAAAACAAAAACTTTGGATGATAAAAACCTGTGGTACTTACCCATTTAGCTTTTTCAGGAGGTATTCTCGATCAAAGATGTTTAAATTAAATATTGTAATGATAAATGTATTTAAATGTATATTTACAAAGAGCAACTCCTAGAGTTTCTTGCCCATTCTTCTCAAGGGAATATGCCTTACAAAAGAGCAGTAGAGTTTAATCAGTATGATGATTTCAACTGTAATTTGCTTACCTATGAAATGAAGATTATTTGACTTGACTTTGACTTCAAAGCACATTAGTTAAAAAGTAGATGTGGCTAAGCTTGTAAAATGCCACTCAGCCCAAACAAATTCTCCTGTTGGCTTCCTTCTCGAAGTTGTGCTTGCCGAAATGGATAGGTTCAACTAACTGAGCTGAATAGTTTTCTATTTAAAGACCCAACATTGGCAGGGTATGCCTAACATGCCAAAATATATGAAATTATCTGCTTATGGTCTCTTAAAAGACCATTTCGACTCATCCGAAGAACAGAATCCGATGTGATTATATTGCGAAAAGAGAATAAGTACATTACAGAATAATTTCATTATTCGAACTAAGGCCTATGTAAAGGTGTCTTGAGAATTTATATATGTATATCTTGTTTAGTTTCGGAAATTATAAAATCTGACACCCACAGCGAAGAAGAACGAACGAAATGCACTATGTCCTGAGAATAAGTAGCCTTGCACATAGACCTTTGTTCTACGGATGTGTCAATTTGTGTGTTGGTAAAAAAAACAAAAACAAATTATACTGAAGCATTCACTTTCATTCATATCTGTGTTCTTTGTCTACCCCTATGGTAAAAGGGCGAATAGTGGGTACCAGGTACCAAAGCAGGAACCATTGTAGACTTTTCAGATTGTGCAAAATGCACCATAAGTGCTTCCAGGTGCACAACAGATTTTTCAGTTCCTAATATTGAAATTGCTTACAATGGACCTATTGTAATTTCTGCTTTATTATAATGCGTTTTCGGTTCTATTTAGCACAACTAAATCCTGTAGACTCACAACCAGCAGGAAGTGATCTTTACATCTAGTGCCTATAATGTAAACCTTTGGCCCACCAATGTATGTAGAGATGGCTACAATACACTGACATATTTATTTCATTTGATAAAGCTATGTTGCCATTATAATTTTTTTTCATTGCGACTGTTGAATCGGTAAGATACCGCACTGGAGTCATTCAGTTCTTTTGTTTATTTGGTAATGAAAATGAACTATTGTTATATACATATATATACATTTTGAAAAACAAAATCTTTGTCGTTTAATCGTCGCCGCGTCGCGAAAACGACGAAACAAAAATTGCCGGGTGTTTGTAGTTTCAGTTTTTACGTATTGCATTTCTAATGACTCTCATGCAGATATAGGCAAACCTCTCGGTTTTCCGTGTGCTTTGTTGACACCGGGTTAAAAACCATTAACGCTCAAAATCAAGGGCACAAATTATTTGTTGTAAATCGGGTTTTGTTCCAACTTAATGATATTATTACTAAATGTTTATTGGTTTCTGATCTAGATCTATTCAATTTGCCTTTCTATTGAATCGTTTCGCTTGAAAATCGCTTTGAGATAAATCGATAAAAAATAGTCGAATCATACAAAAATATTTTTTACATCGAAATTTGTAATAAATAAGTATGGAATTACACCAAATTCCGTAATCGCCTTTCGCCCACGATTTTGGGCTGAAATGGATTAAAACCGGGCACTTTAGGTAAAAACCCGGTTAAAACCCTTAATTGATTTTTAACCCACTGCCCATTTCTGGTTGCAGCGTCACTCAGAGCTTTAAGGGTCGTATTCTAGAACTCTACTCAATGCTCAAGTTAGGATTTGAGGATGGTTTAAAGCACTTGATATCATACTCAAGTCCCTGCCATTAGGGTCGTATTTCCAGTGCTTGTGTTGCCAGTGCAATCCTGACTTGAGCATTGAATAGAGTTCTAGAATACGACCCTAAGAGTCAAGTTACACTGAAAGAGCAGAGGCGCGCAGGCAGAGGAGCTAGCATGGTGCTTTTTTGGACTAGTGGCTTAAGTCTCGCGCAGCCTCGCGGCTGCTCGCGGTGGCGCACTAACCATTCTATCACTTCAAATAAATTAAAAACTTTTTCTTTAACCAACTTCAAAAGCAATTCGACTTTTTGTTCCCCGGGGCGTCTCACCCGGGGTATTAGCCTCTCGAGAACGAGGATGAAGTCAAATGACAGAGGTCTGTGACAACACTGTACACTGACTGATCTGGGGTCAGAACTTGAACTTGAAAGGTTCCTGTGCGCGCACAGGTTATACTGCACTTCTTGTATACCCTAAGGGTCGGTAGAGAGGGTCACTATAATCAAAACTAATGTAGAAAGATATAGGGCTGTATGTTTGTGTTTTTTTTATTTAAAAAAAATTGTATGTATGTTACGCGATAATCAGGCATTTGTAAACTGATTTTGATCATTCTTTTTTTGTTGGGAAGAAAGATGGTGCCTCAGGAGTGGTCCCATTTAAATTTGAAGAAAATATTTCACCTCTAAGGGTGGTAAACTAAAGGAGGAATGACTTTCGAGGTCGGTTTTTTAGTACTCTGTACTGAGATTATTATTAGACGATAAGATTCAAAATGCTAAGTAATACTTTGCACCAAAAATGCTTCTCCGGCCGCTGTTCTTTCAGTGTGACTTGACTATTAATCGCAAAGGTCTGACCCCCCGATCACACGGCGTTGTACTGCACGTTTTTTGCAATATAAATCTGACCGAATAAACAGTGGCGCATACACTAAATATAAAACTTAAATACAAAAAAAGAACATTTATTTATTTAAACATAATTGCACACAAAATAGATACAAAGATACACAAAACAGATACAAATGGCCGACTTAATGCCATTAGGCATTCCCTACCAGTCAACCGGAGAGCTGGGCTCAAAATAATTAACAGGGGTGCATAACATGATAATTAAAAGAGATAGCAAGAAGTTTATAAATAATTATGATATATAGTTTAAACACAATATAAATATAGTACATAATATTATATGACTAACTATATACTTATATAATAAATAATAAATAATAAATAACGCACACACTCAACATAGCCCCGCACTAGGGAAACCCTGTATCGCGGGTGCCATGGACACACACATCGACAATCACAAATTACACCCAAACTCACGAGAGAAATAATTGTAGGCCATACTACTATTTCTCCCGGCCCGGGAATCGAACCTGGGACCTCTGCGTGGCAGTCCGGCATGGTAACCGTTTGGCCACGGAGGCAGTTCAATAAGCAACCTATATACAAATAAATACATAATATATAATACATACACATATATATTTAATATACATATTTATATATAACAATTTGAGACTAATGGGATGTAGATTGAGACTCCAATATGAAATCGCGGACTAATTGCTTCAAAGCTGGCTTATTCGGCGCTTTTTGAATATGGGGCGGTAGAGCGTTCCAGAGTCGTATTGCCTGAAGAGTAAATGAGTTAGAAAGAAAACCAGTACGGTGAGAAGGAATTAAAAGAGTCAATTCGCTGTCTGAGCGAAGATGGCGATTATGGAATGCACCCAAATATTGAAATTTACATTTCAAATATCCAGGTGCACATTTATCATTAATGATAGAGCAAAGGGTGGAAAGTATTCTCAAATCACGACACTGACGAATCGTAAGCCACTTTAGCTCATTGCGACATGCGTAGACGTGATCAAATTTATACATATAGTCGAATTGACAACCTCCTCCTTTTTTTGAAGTCGGTTTAAAAGATGGCACTATGTAGTTGGAGGCAATTCCTTTTCGATGTTATAATAATAATAATAGTAATAACAACGCACGCATACACATACGCCCAGTATTAATGAGGAGATTCCCAATAGAACCAATTTGGTAAACGAACTTTTCTAAATTGCAAAATTTATTTATTGAAAATTATGATAATTTACTACCATGATTTTCATTTTTTTTGTGAAAATTCTCCACTTGTCTGGCGAGAAAGTTCTAAAATCTCTCACTAGATGTCACTACTAACCAGTACAAAGCGATATATAACAAAAACATTTAAGTGAATTTAGACAACTCGATAACTTGACCTATAAGCTCAGTTGTTGTAACAAATATACGCCATTTAAATTTGGAAAATTAGTTTCATTTCCTAGTCATTTATATCTTCGAACAATAATTTGAAGTGGTACAAGTGAATAAATATGTATAAATTATATTTATTTTCAAATTTTTATTGCATTGATATTCAATTATTTTTTATGTAAATTACTCCGCTAGTTTGTTATAATCAGAAAAAATTCCTTCGATCCGGCCGGATTCGAACTCGGTGACGAAATATTTCGAAATATCATAGATTCCTCATAGATGTCGCTACGGCTTATATGTCGTTGAAAACCCAAATACAAAGATACGACGCAAGCACATACAAAAATTCGTGAGGTCCGCTGGCTCGTTCCGTTGCTTAGTTGGTATAGCGTCTGACACGGTATGCTAGAAGACGTCGGTTCCAATCCGGTCGGATCGAAGAATTTTTTTCTGAGTGTTCGATTTTTGTATTAATAATTATAACAAACTAGTGGAGTAATTTATATAAAAAATAATTGAATATCAATGCAATAAAAATTTAAAAATAAATATAATTTATACATATATTCACTTGTACCACTTAAAATTATTGTTCTATATTATTATAGTATTTATTTTTTTTATAAATTCACCGCAATTTTTTATTCAAAACTATGTGATTATGTGTACTTGAGATATATGTTATGGGGAAAGGTATATGAAAGAAAATCAGATGCTTTATAAATATTTATATTATTATAGTGTTATTATATTTGTGATCCGAACTTTTCATAAGTGACGTGTGTTATGTGTGGAGTGATATAAAAGTGTTTTAATGCAATAGAGTTGTTATTTCTTTGCAGTGGAAAGGTCGCTGAGAAGAAATCGTCAGGAAATATTACAACAACGAGGATCATCGGCAGCTGGTATTTCAAAAGCGGATTGTAATGTATTTTGTTATTATTGAGGTTTGGGATCTTAAATACCAATTTATAGACCTTATCGCTGGCAAAAGACGTCCAGTCACAATGAACTACCAACTTTAAACGCTTTAAAACTTTATTGCAATTGCTGTGGACTCAGTATTGTGTGAACACAATTTTTGACCAAGGACATGTCTAAAGTGAATTTATGCAAATGAGACGCACTATAATAAAAACCTCAAAGAAATAGAAGAAATATCAAAGAAGTGTTAACTGAACCGGCTGACTGATAGCCCTATAGTCTCCAATAGACAAAGAAATGGATCCTCCACTTAAGAAATTGAAAACACAAGAACCAATAATCAAAACCATAGACACGTACATAAACAAGATGAGAGAATCCAAGGAAAATCTCCACGCTGTCTTAGGGGATGATTTCACTAAACCAATACCGCTGATAAAAGTTTATGCAGGTCATGTAAAGAATCCCAAAGACTTGTCTCGTATTATTTTGACATTAAACGAAAAAGTGCCTCTTAAGGAATTGAGTCATTTGAAAAGGGTACGGAAAAGAGAGGTCATATTATGCCCCATAGACTGTCTGAATGGTGTATCTATACAACAATATTTAGAAGTGAACGTACAAAATTTGTATGATGTGTTTGAATATTTTAGAGAAATTGAAGTGCCAATGTACGCTCCTAAAGTGAAAAAACAGTGTAACATGCTCGCTTGGTCTTATAACTTTCACCCTAATATGTATTATGAGAAATTAGTTAGTGATGATTTTTTCTCCGTAAACGAAATGAATATACACAAAAAATACATGGAAATAGCATTTGTTTGTGCAAAATGGTATATCCAGGAACATAACCGTTACATTACTGATCTTTTAGACATGAATATCACTCTGGTTATAGATCCCTTGGTAAAATCTAACAGTGTGGTAGCAATATCGTGTAATAATGAAAATCATCCCATACAACATTCCGCTATGGTAGCTATTGACAATGTTGCTAAAACACAGAAAGGAGGTGTATGGAATGTATCAGACAATACAGTATATAATTTGAAAGGGATTGATGAAAAACTACATCAACATTTAACAGAAATTTACCCGGAAGAGAATTTTGGTGCAAGAAACTATATGAGCAAGGACGAAGCAAGTGATTGTGACAGTTCAGATGGACCGTATTTATGTACTGGTTATTACATATATATGATAAAAGAGCCATGTGTTATGTGTAGTATGGCTTTAGTTCATGCGAGGGCAAAACGGATTTTTTATACGTTTCCTAATGAGCTCTGTGGTGCGTTGTGTTCTAAGGTTAAATTGCAGAGTGTACCGTCTTTGAATCATCGTTTTGAAGTGTTTACGGGGTTTTTATAATATTTTATATACGAATTAGTAGCGTAAGAGATGTTCCAAGTACTCCTGCAGGTCGATTCAGAACCTTACGATGACTTTGTTGTCGACCGATTCGATTAGATATCGTACGATTTCTTTTCATTTTTAACCGACTTAAAAAAAGGAGGAGGTTCTCAATTCGACAGCATGTTTTTTTTGTATGTATTTTACGCGATAACTGCGGTATTTGTGAACCGATTTTCATGATTCTTTTTTTGTTAGAAAAAGGGTACTTCCATAGTGGTCCCATTTCATTTTGAAGATAATCGTCCATCTCTAAGGGTGGCTGTTCACGCATGAAGATTCATTTTTATAAATAGCGCCTAAATTTTACTTAAGGAGCAATTATTTTAGTGGTTGGTTTTGCTATCCTAAAATTCAAGGCGTTTGTCTCTCAATATACTTTGAGTAGTGAGAACCGATTTTTATTATCTCCTGTGTCAAGTCCTGTATAGGGGCGAACTAGGGGATATTTCAATAAAACTTGGCAAATAGACGTAATTCCACGTACTTTTGGGTCGGTTTTTTTTTATTCACAATAACCGAATAGAACGTAAATTGTCGTATTCGAAACCGAACCTCAATGACGTCACACCCGTACGATCACTCGTACTTCTTGACTTCAGAACACAGATATCGAATGAAAGTTACCGAACGTCCTGTTGTTTACAAAGCAAGAATTTAATATGGAAATCTTTTATTATTTTAAATAAAAACTGGATTTTGTTCATATTTATTAATTTGTTTTAATGCGAGACTAATGCATTTCTATATTTTAGACCTTTAAAGTCTTAAAAATGTATATAAAAGGATTTCATTTTCCTTATACTCTATATTCGCCGACTACCTCCGTAAACGTTGTTGGATAACGATATCGTATCCGAATCCGAATTTAACGTTTAACTCGAATTTTCTGAAAAGCTCGAAAAGCGCCCTTCGATTCGAGAACGATATCCAATCGAACGATTCGGTTAAGATATCGAGGAGTTCTGAATCGGGGTCCTGGTCAGGTACTAGTAGGTTTATGTAGCAGTAGAGCACCTTGTGAAAGAGTTTGTCCAGGTAAGTACTGCCACCTTACATATTTCTGCCGCCACGTACGCCCCACAGTAATGTGAGCATTACCGCGTTCCGGTTTTGAAGGATAAAGGTGCTGGTGAAAGCACATAGGACTTGTCTACTTATGTTTCAGGGTGACGGACACAGTGGTAGTGCCGCTCAGATCTCTGCGATTTAAGGCTCTGAGAGGCACTGCAACTGTTATGGATAGGCGTGTCGCTTACCACCAGACACATGATTTGTTCGTCACGTCACTTGATATTAGAAAAAACTTAGTAACGTACGGCGCTGTGCCCTTATTATTATTATGTCACCCTGAGACATAAGTTCACAAGTCCCATGTAATTTCACCAGCACCCTTACCCTTCCAAACCGGAACGCAGTAATGTGACCATTACTGCTTGTCAGCAGAAATAGAAACGCTTTTCCCCCGAAGGGTAAAAAACGTATATTTAGGTTTAGCCGAACTTGAGATCACCCTTTTGAACATCAGCGCCATCTAGTAGACTTTGTGTGCAATATTCATAATGTGCAATATTAATATGTCAACCTGACATTTGTGCAATATTGCAGACAAAGTCTATTAGATGGCGCTGATGTTCAAAAGGGTGATCTCAAGTGGGTCAAACCGAAGGCTCGAACACCTAAATAAGTAAGGTGACAGTACTTCAATTGACGAACTCTCCCACAAGGAGCCCTACTGCTAAATCTAATAAATCCTTTGATAATGTTTTTATTGCTTATCATAGTAGAAAAGACTAATGACTACTACTTTTTACTACTTTCTATTTATACGTCTTGTGCCTTTTGAGCTTACTATATAATAAATTATATATAAAATAAAATTTAGTTATATACATACTTGTTCAGGATCAGGAAAAGCTAATTTCGACTCATCCGAAGAACAGAGTCCGATGTGATTATATAACGAAAAGAGAATAAGTTACGAGAACAATTTCGTTATTCAAACTAAGGCCTATGTAAAGGTGTTTGGAGAATTTATATATTTTATTTCGTTTCGGAAAGATAAAATCGAACAACGGTCGATCTGACATCCACAGCGAAGAAGAACGAACGAAATGGACTATGTCATGAGAACAAGTAGTCTTGCACATAGATCTTTGTTCTACGGATGAGTCGATTTACACATTCTTTTTGTACAAAATCTATCCCTATAATTATTAGATTCGCCCTAACTTTCTCAAACTCGTATCTTCTAAAGAGTGATTATTTAGGTGGTGGTAAAACTTTCTATTTATTTTAAATTTCTTATCAAAGGTGGTAATTCGGATGCATCACATTAAGAATAGGTAAAAGCCAGTGTGTGAATATGAAGGAAATGTACAATCAGCCTGAAAAATTTGTATGAACTTTCAGTCACTTTGTGCTTTAAGATACGAGTTTGAGAAAGTAAGGCAAATCCAATAATTATAGAGATAGATTTCTACAAAAAGTATATGTAGTGGCTTTTCCTGATCCTGAACAAGTATGTGTATAACTAAATTTTAATAAATAATTATTGCAGAATAGAATAATAAATGAAATCTATTCGCTACGAGCGTACAAATATATTCCATTGGTGCATAATAAAAAAATAGTTTATTAAATAAACTTATACATAAAACCGTATATTGATACATTATTACATTTATATAAAGCCATTACCACCGCCTTTTAAAATATTTCTACATGTAAATGTGATACTAAGATAGTGGAACCGATGATGGACATGGATTTGCCGTCTTTATAAAGACAGAATTTTAATTTAGTTTATAGCTTGTTACATTATCTTAAGCACAGTAATAGAAACAGTGTCACTGGTCGTCCAATACTGAATTTGATTTTTTTATGAATCAAATCCACTGTTGGAAACATCTCACCATTCGTTTAGAAATAAGTTTTAAGTACCATGCAAGATATCTTTTTTTGAGATTGAATTTGATAATTTAGCTAAGTAGTTGGTCGTTCATGTTTAGGTGTTCATAATTGGAAACCATCCATGACGGGGTGTCCATAATTGGAAATTGGGCTGTCCATATAAAGATATTCAAACACAGACCGAGTACCAAACGAGACCGATCCAAAAGATCCCGCGCCTGCAGCCGCCACGACACAGGTGCTGGCGCGCACAGCCATTGTGAACGCAACGAGCGTCTACGTATATTTACTTTACACGCACCCGCGCCTGAGGCCACTCTGAATAATGAAGGCCTTATACTAATCATGTTAACACTTGCTTGTGCTTCTCATGATACTAGTGATGATGCCATCTACTGGTGGCGCTTGGTACTAAAGTCTGTTCCAATTAGTGTTGGGTAGGACATCTCATCTCGAGTGGTCTCGGTCGGTAGTCTACTTTTTCTCGAATAACAATGTTTTCTTTATTAATTGATCTGATTAAAGCACTATAAGTCATTATTTGAAAACTTTTTAATTTCCACAGAGTAACTCATCCAAAATTAAAAGACTGAAGCAAAAAATAAAACCATAAACCGTCCATGATTGGTTCCACTGCATTAAATTGAATTTTAATATTATAAATAATGAATTTCGTAACCGATTGTGTAAACTAACACTTTTGTTAAAACAATGGATGTTAAGCCTTTTTAGCGCGTCCATTAATTTTGCTATCTATATTTAAAGTTTTTTGAAGCTTTCAGGCGTTTACGGTAACACTTGCGATTAAAAATTTGCATGTCATAAGTCTTGCTATTTTGTACTCAACAATACTTTAATAAATCACTAGCTGATTTGGACAATGCGGAAAAAAAATCCCATTGACCAGACCACTCTGACCATCAATCTGGTCAACGGGAAACACTGATATTTTTCGCTTTCACCCAATTTTTTACAAATTAATTGCGTGTAATATCATTATTTTGTCAAAGTGGGACATTGTTTATTTTTTGGGGACAGTAGGACACACAGCTTAAAACCGGGACGTACGACTTATGTAAGTACTATGTCTGTTGCAATTATAGATTTAGTATATCCATAGATTGGCCTTCAAGTATTGGAGACGAGACCAAAACAAAAATACATCTGTGTGCGTATAATTGCATGTGTGCAAGATAAATAGTGTTGCGCAATCCACTGATTTAACTTAAATATCGATTAACATATTACACCGGCATTTCACTTCGTCGTATTCACCAAAATGTCTTATCGCAAAACGCCGAGACGTTAACTAATTAATTAATGATTCAATACAAAATTAAGAAAGCTCCTATCACCTTCTAGCAGTGCCATAGGATGGTAGGTAAACAATGGGGACTTTCACCCAAGATAACACTATGGCTCTACAAAACGGTGATAAGACCCATGATCAGTTACGGCGCAATAGTATGGTGGCCACGAACCAAGCTGACGACCGCAACCGACAAGCTGGACAAATTCCAAAGACTAGCCTGCATGGCGACGATTGGCTGCATGAGGACAACTCCAACTGCGGCCCTCGAAGCGATGCTGGACCTGCGAAATTTTCGTTTTAATATAGACAAAAAATAATGCACTAATTTGCATTAGTGCATTATTAATTAACTAAAACCAGAAATTTCTGATTCAACAATATTAAGTATGAAGATGATTTCGGTTGTATGCAAGTCACGCCTTTGCCTTACTTTTTTTCAGTTAATGACATCTCGATAACATATTATCGATTGCGTCAATCTCTATGAAATTGGGGTTATGAATTTCAGAAATTCACGTATTTGATAATTTTTTTAATTGAATCCGTATACATTTGGGTTATTAATGCATTTGAATGGTATAATTTTACGGATATATTTATGTGAAAAACTTTTGTGGTAGTGCTTTTAGACAGCTAAAAAAATACAGCTAAAAATAGTACTTACATGTGAAATGTACAATTCTGCGAGTTTTCCTTTTTAGATGAGTTACATCCGGGTACTGAACACGTTACCATGACTAATAAACGTCCGTTTAACGCTATTTCATATTTTAAAACCAACTA